CGGTATTCCCTCCTAGGAAGGACATTCAGGCCGATCTCCCACCATGTTATTATTATTATACAGGATGGATATAGCGCCAACAGTCCTGCGCAGCGCTGTACAATATAAGGGGGAGGTACAATTACAGTACATTTCAGTACAGAAGGGATAGGAGGGCCTGGCCCATGGAGCTTACAATCTAGAGGAAGGGGGGAGGTGGTACAGAAGGTGATGATGCTGCGGGGGATGGTCTGGTGGAGGTGACTCAAGTACAGTTTCTTAGGTGGGGGTGAGCTTCCCTGAATATGTGAGTTTACAAAGACCGCCTAAAGGCAGACAGGGTGGGGGGCTGACCGGACATACTGGGGTAGGGAGTTCCAGAGGATGGGAGAGGCTCTGGAGGTGAGCATGGGAGGAGGTAACGAGGGTGCTAGAGAGGAAGATGCCTTGGGAGGAGCGGGTGATTTGGGCGATATCTGCGGATGAGGTTGGTGATGTAGCTAGGGGCGGGGTTGTGGATGGCTTTCTATGCTGTGGTTAGTATTTTGAATTTTATACGTTGGGTTAGTGGAAGCCAGTGGAGGGATTGGCAGAGAGGGGTGGAGGTCAGTGAAGGAATTGGCAGAGAGGGGTGGAAGCCAGTGGAGGGATTGGCAGAGAGGGGTGGAGGTCAGTGAAGGGATTGGCAGAGAGGGGTGGAAGCCAGTGGAGGGATTGGCAGAGAGGGGTGGAGGTCAGTGAAGGGATTGGCAGAGAGGGGTGGAGGTCAGTGAAGGGATTGGCAGAGAGGGGTTGAGGTCAGAGAGGGGTAGCAGTCACTTATTGGTTGGTAAGGTGGAAGGCTCTAGCGGCAACATTCATAACAGACTGAAGGGGGTGTGGCCTGTGTAACGGTAGACCAGTGAGGAGGGAGCTGCAGTAATAAAGGCTGGAGATGACCAAGGCGTGGATCAGTTGTTTGTGGTGTCATTGGTCAGGAAGGGGCGGAGTTTGGAAATGTTGCAGAGGTTGAGGCGGCAGGATTTAGCCAGTGATTGGATGTGGGGCCGGAAGGAGAGGTCAGAGTCTAGGATTACACCTAGTACCCTGACGTGTGGAGGGACCAATGGTTGTATTACATTCTTTCCTGGCCATGGACCTGTCAGTGGGGACCCAGAAGTGACATCATAACGTCCTTTCCGGGTCAGGACAAGAAGGGGAGCCAACGGTGGTGTTTCGGTCCCATCTTGCCCATCTGTGGGCCTGAGAGACCTCACGTGGGGTGAGGTTCACACGGGGGGGGGGAGGCTGGCACTGTTTGGAAGCCATTGAATGCTTCCACCTGACAGGTGAGCCCGCTGCTTCCCTGCAGCAGGGCTATTGGTAAAGGAAAAAACCTACCTGCCTGGCGCCCGGAACTACATATCCCTGGAGTCAGGTGATATAAATTCATCATCCCTGTGTCTTGCTACCACTGCCAACCAGCTGTGTTGCTGATTTGTGTTGCTGATTTTTGCTGACTTTTCATAGGAAGTATCACGAAAACAGCCTTCACTCACATCTGCTCTACGTTATTCCATAACCATGTGAAGGTCACGCTTGTCTACCCCGCGGTTCTCCATCTGACTACTCAGGACGGGGAACATCACACCTTCCCTTCACCTGGAGAAGCTGATAGATTTCTACATTCTGCTAAACTATCTATGCCTATGGATCGTTCACCTGCCTCTCTTTCCTGTAAATCACAGAGTAGACCTCGAAAGGACGCCTTCGAGACCGTTCAATGTGGAGCGCACTCTACTCAGGACACTCCTGATGGCATCCTAACTTGATCTCTCTATAGCTGACTGCTTTTTTTTTTCTTCATCACTACCTTCAAGGTCCATTAGGAAGAGTTATAGAAATTTTCAACATGATAGCTCTCTTGTTACCGGTTTTTAATGGTACTGTAGAGAGCCGTCTAGTTGTACCTCTAGCAACCCATGGATCAGGTTCCCCCAGAGTGCGGAGTCTAAGTCCCAGTTCACTGGTTCACCAGGGCCCCTGATGGTGGGGATGGACTTGGAGTAAACCGAGACCAGGTCGCAGCTCTGGAGTACACCTAGCCGTGGTAGAGGAATTTGCCAGAGGCCCCCGCAGGGATAGTCTGATGTGAAGAGGTGGATATGCCCAGGCCAGGTGGATGGATGGATGAGCGAGAGCGTAGTCAGACAAGCCGATTCGGTAGCCGTGGGAGCGGTATGGTATAAAGCAGCGGGCAGAGAATGGTCAGGTCACACGCCAGTCAGCAACAGTAGATCAGGTCCATAAGGGGGCATCCAGGAGAGAGGTCAGGCAAGCCAGGGGTCAGAGCAGGAGAACACAGCAAGGTCAAGACAGTCCAGGTCAGCAACAGTAACTTAATAGCACAGGTATAGAATCAAGGACACAGGGATGCAGGAAAGACCATTCGGCGATTCCTGTCAGTGCAGGGCGGATTTAAATATCGCGCCCTGCGCTATCATTGGTGCCAGGCGCGCACTCATGGCTCCGAGTGCGCATGCACGGATTTAGTCTTAGCCGCAGCCGGCCAGGACCCAGTGCCCGAACACCAGCGTGACCGGGCACACTGCGCCTGCACTGAGCCGTGGATCGTGGCGGCTCCTGACAGGTAGTTTGGGCTCCAACTAATCCTTTCTGCTAGGAGATGGAGTCCTCTTGTATTACAGGCGGATCAGACCTGGCATGGTGGAATACAATGGCCTATGGTCCTCATCACAACGCTTTTTTAAAATATGTTGGGACAGCAAGATGCAGCACTTGAAACTCTGGTTCTTTTGGGAAAAATTCCCCCCCTGAGCTGCTGTACCTGCTTTTCTCTGACCTTACTGGTTATCGGGCTTGTTGGGAGCTTGGAAGACCATTTGGCACCCAAGTGGAAAAAAAGAGAAGCCGTTTACATTTCTGTATATTCATTTATGCTTTGTTTTTTTGCATTCTCATCCAATTGGCAATACTTCTTCTGTAGTCTTTCTTTGCCCTATATGTTTAGAGGTTTGGAAGGAATGCACTGCTATGTCCATCTTATTTTCTGCCTTGGGAGAAAGGCTCTTGTTGCTTATTAACTCCTCCTGGTTTAGGCCCTCCTTTCTCTATTTACATAGAATATGAAAATCATCTCCTGGAACGTTACAGGGTTGGTTTCTCCCATGAAGCGCATGATGGTGCTCCGTCATTTAAAATGCCTAGGGTCAGACATAGCTATTACAAGAAACACATTTGAGGGATGCAGATTTTCACCATATGTGTAAATTGTAGGTGGGTGAGGTATTTGGCTGCCTGGCAGGTGACCATAAAGCAGGAGTACTTATCCTGCTCCATAAGCGTCTCCCATATGCCATCGATTGTGTCTCCAGGTAGCATCTTGCACTGTCCTGAGAACAAATATCTATGCCTCTAATAACCCTGGTAACTCCTTTTCCTCCTATCATCTTCCAGGATGGCACACCTGAGAGATGAGGGGCTCCTCCCTACAGGAAACCCAATCAATTTACAGCTGTTATAAGTCCCCTCCCTTCCCCTTGCCCTCCAGTATTGACTGTTTCTCCCTACATTGGAATGTTTGTTGTTTTTTGTGACCAGACTGGGGAGGGCCGGATGGTACCCCTGTGAGGCAGACATAGGGAGGCCGGGGAGGACTGAACTAACCTGCAGGCCAAGTGTCTCTCATAGGTCGCCCTGGATGTACATCAGAGATCCAGATACAGGGGATTGTCTTCCGCCGCAGCAGCAGACTGTACAGGTCTCTATCTCTCTGTGGTCCCGGAGACCATACAAGGAAGAGAGAGGTAGAAAAAGGTTGTATGCTAGCCACCCCTAAATGTCATGGTCATGTCCTTCCCTTCCTTTCTTTTGGGAAAGTTTGGGTTCCTGGAGAAGACCTGGTATTTGGCAGGAAGGTCCTGCAGGCAATGTGTCAGGGCTCCAGGTATGACCAGAGGGGTGTGGACTGACACAGGGAAACGCAGGCTTCAGATATGGTATAAACAATATAATTTATTAAGACTAACAATACAAAATGCAGTGCAAAACTAAACATAAACACAGTGCAAACAAACCAAACCACCCACCGATAACAATACATACAATACAAAGAGTAGTTTGGCAGGCCGGGTCAGTAGCAAACGGGCAAACGGGAGTACCAGGAACAGGCGGGAGAGAGTGGTCGGGGTCACAAGCTGGGTTCAGTAACTCACGGGCAGCGCGGTACAGAGGGTCAGGCAGAGAATGGTCAGGGTCACAAGCCAGGGATCAAGCAGGAGAAGTCAGCAGAGGTCAGATCAGGCAGTGTCGGCAACAAGTCAGACAGGAACAGAAACAGGAATACAAGATACAGGGGCCCATGGAAAAAACACACACGAAGGCCCTACTGTGAGTCTGGCCATTCCTTAAATACAACCCCTGCAATCAGCTTCAGGTGTTTGGCTGATTGCAGGGGAGAGTCTCTGATTGATGAGAGCACCCGCTGGCCAGCCCTGGTACTGCAGTCCACAAGGCAGGTGAGTCCCACCATTATTGTCAAGTCCATTCCTGACAGTATCCCCCCTCAAGGAGCGGCCTTATGATGCTCCAAACAGTCCTAGCTGGGCAAAATGTTCCACCGCCCGGGTCCGGTAACTGGCGGGATATCAAAGACTGGCACATCGGGCTGGGCACCGGACAGAGGCACATCGGGCTGGGCACCGGACAGAGGCACATCGGGCTGGGCACCGGACAGAGGCACATCGGGCTGGGCACCGGACAGAGGCACATCGGGCTGGGCACCGGACAGAGGCACATCGGGCTGGACACCGGACAGAGGCACATCGGGCTGGACACCGGACAGAGGCACATCAGGCTGAACACCGGATCACCAGGCGGAGCAGCAGGCACCGGGTCATCAGGCGGAGCGGCAGGCACCGGGCCACCACGTGGAGCGGCAGGCACCGGGCCCCCAGGCGGAGCGGCAGGCACGGGCCCCCAGGCGGAGCGGCAGGCACCGGGCCCCCAGGCGGGGCGGCGGCCACCGGGCGGGGCGGCAGGCACTGGTCCCCCGGGCAGAGCGGCAGGCACCGGGCCCCCAGGCGGGAGTGGCAGGCACCGGGTCATCTGGCAAGACCGCGGGCCCCGAGTCATCTGGCAAGACCGCGGGCCCCGAGTCATCTGGCAAGACCGCGGGCCCCGAGTCATCTGGCAAGACCGCGGGCCCCGAGTCATCTGGCAAGACAGCGTGCCCCGAGTTATCTGGCAAGACAGCGGGCCCCGAGTCACCAGGCACGACAGCGAGCTCCGAGTCAACCGGCACGACAGCGGGCTCCGAGTCAACTGGCACAACAGCGGGCACCGGGTCATCAGGTACCGGATCGTCTGGCTCGACAGCAGGCACCGGGTCATCTGGCTCGACAGCGGGCATCGGATTACCAGGTACGACAGCGGGCACCGGGTCATCAGACATTGGATCGTCTTGCTCGACAGCGGGCACCGGGTTATCTGGCTCAACAACGAGCATCGGGTCACAGACACGACAGTGGGCACTGGGTCATCAGGCATCGGGTCATCTGGCTCGACAGCGGGCATCGGGTCATCTGGCTCGACAGCAGGGGCATCGGGTCATCTGGCTCGACAGCGGGCATCGGGTCACCTGGCATCAGGTCATCTGGCTCGACAGCGGGTACCGGGTCATCAGGCATTAGATCATCTGGCACGACAGCGGGCATCGGGTCATCAGGCACGACAGCGGGCATCGGGTCACCAGGCATGACAGCGGGCACTGGGTCATCAGGCATTGGATCATCTGGCTCGACAGCGGGCATCGGGTCACCAGGCATCAGGTCATCTGGCTCGACAGCAGGCACCGAGTCATCTGGCAAGACAGTGGGCACCGAGTCATCAGGCACGACAGCGGGCATCGGGTCACCAGGCATCAGGTCATCTGGCTCGACAGCGAGCACCGAGTAATCTGGCAAGGCAGTGGGCACCGAGTCATCTGGCAAGACAGCGGGCATTTGGTCATCAAGCAAGACAGCGGGCACCGAGTCACCAGGCATCAGGTCATCTGGCTCGACAGCTGGCATCGGGTCATCAGGCACCACAGCGGGCATCGGCTGGGTAGAGATATCAGGCGGAATTGCGGGGTGCCGAGGCACCAGGCTGGACCACGGAAGGCGGGTTCTCAGATGGCAGGCTGACCGGTTTGGATACTGGCAGGATGGTATTGGTTGGAAAGAGTTTTCACTTTTTTCTGGTTTTAGTTACTGGAGCACTGTAAGTAAACGCAGGTCTGTAAACGAATGGAGCAGCTGAAGACAGAGAAGAGCTGGAGGATGGAACAGAGGAGGGAGCAGTTGCTACAGAGGACTTCTTTACAGGGTTAAAGAAAGGATAGGTGCAGCAAGTGGGAGAAGGGGACTGGTATGTGGTAGTTAGCAGAGTATACTGGGCCGTCACTGGGGTGCTGTCGGGGATGCAGGAAGAGTGCCTTGAGCAGAGGAATGATGTTGCAAGCTGACTGAGGCTGGGTGCAACAAATCTGTCCATGTCTGCAGTACTGGTTGAACAAAACTCAGCTTATGCATAATGAGGAAATACAAAACAGAGGGCGCACAGGCCTAGTGCATTACCATAAAAAATGTTTAATAAAAAATAAAGTATGTGTTGTACTCACAAACGACAATATAGTCAAGGCACATCATAAAGAACAGCTGGGTCAACACCGCGCTGATGTGGCTCTGAGGAAGAGGCAAGTCCTCGAATCGCGTCAGTTTTTTGGATGTCTAAACTCCCTATTGCGGACTGTTACTCAGCGCGGTGTTGACCCAGCTGTTCTTTATGATGTGCCTTGACTATATTATCGTTTGTGAGGCCTGTGCGCCCTCTGTTTTGTCTTTCCTCATTCAGTATATTTGGATTTCCCCGGTCCATTTGAGGGCAGCAAGGTGTGCATGTTCCAGGACATTCTTAATGTGGTTGTAGCCTGCATCGAGTCCATCCCCAAGCGCAGGAGCATTTGTTTTTGCTGGTTCTCAGCTTACACATAGCCTGTCTGACCAAAGACTGCACTGCGTTTATGCAATCCATAAGCACATGTGATGGACAAGCTTCATAATGCTCATGGAAGCAATCTGGATCATCCTCCAACAACCATACCAGTGATTCCACTTGATCCACACTAAATGGGGAAAAAAAGTCATTCCTGCTTTCAGGGGTACAGCCAACTCAGCACAAACCTGAATCAATGGCTGCACCTCAGAAAACTCTGTGCCCTGATCTACTAGGCAATGAGCGATCCTTATACACTCTAGCAGTTGATCCCGGGGATACTCCTTCAGAGTCTGATAAGCATAGTCTTTGTCATCAAACACTAGCAGAGATAAATACACCACCTCATCAAGATCCATCCTTCCCAGCAACAATAAGCTAAGATGGCTTCCCTGTGCAGCCACTTCTGGTCAGGATCGACCTTGGTGTAATGTCAGGGCTCCCGGTATGACCAGAGGGGTGTGGACTGACACAGGGAAACGCAGGCTTCAGATATGGTATAAACAATATAATTTATTAAGACTAACAATACAAAACACAGTGCAAAACTAAACATAAACACAGTGCAAACAAACCAAAAAAAACCACCCACCGATAACAATACATACAATACAAAGAGTAGTCAGGCAGGCCGGGTCAGTAGCAAACGGGCAAACGGAGTACCAGGAAACAGGCGGGAGAGTGGTCGGGGGTCACAAGCTGGGTTCAGTAACTCACGGGCAGCGTGGTACAGAGGGTCGGGCAGAGAATGGTCAGGGTCACAAGCCAGGGATCAAGCAGGAGAAGTCAGCAAAGGTCAGGATCAGGCAGGGTCGGCAACAAGTCAGGCAGGAACAGGAATTCAGGATACAAGGTACAGGGGCCCATGGAAAAACACACACCAAGGCCCTGACTGTGAGTCTGGCCATTCCTTTAATACAACTCCTACAATCAGCTTCAGGTGTTTGGCTGATTGCAGGGGTGAGTCTCTGATTGCTGAGAGCACCCGCTGGCCAGCCCTGGTACTGCAGCCCACAAGGCAGGTGAGTCCCACCATTATTGGCAAGTCCATTCCTGACACAATGGTCCCACCCTAAAGTAGGCCTCTCTGGTGTGCTGTCCTAGAAGGTGATAGGAGAAAAACAACTGTTAGACTTACCAGTAACGGCATTTCTGCGAACCTTTCAGGACGGCAGGCCTACTTCCCACCCTAGTAAGGAAGGGGAGGAAACCCCTAAAAGTAATTGGTGAGTGCCTACATATAATGATTCCCCTTGTGGACCGGTTTTGGTAATTACTTTATTACAAACTGGAGGGCAAGGAGAAGGGAGAGGATTAATTTTTTTTTATTCCATAACTTTTATTAGAATCAATAAGACAAAACAAATCAAAAATACAACATGAAGGAGATAGCAATACGATATCAATGATCAAGTTAGATAGAAAGACACAATGTTTTAGATGATACAATTTGTCTGAAATTCACAAAAATGAAGAACAAGATGGGAGAATGGGGACTGCAGGGGATTATCTCCTGAATACCATAGATGAAAGGCTATTCCTAGTTGTGGTTTTGGGTGAGGGACTCTTGTGAAGGCAATGATCTCTAACTGATCTAGGAGCAGTATACCCTAGAGTCAATAAAAGGCCAGTGAGAGATGGAGCATGACACAGAACCAGGTAAATCTACGTAGGAGGGGATTGCGGATCAGGATCTTTAGTGGCCTTATATTAAGTCAAGGAGTATATGTCTTGTTTACCAAAATGATATGTGTGCCTATCAGGATCATCTAAAAAAAAAAAAAAAAAGAAGAAAAGTCGAGTCGAGTGTGAGTGAAAATGATAGTGTGAGTTTGTCTGGAAGGAAGAGAAATAGGAAGATAGCAGAAAGAGAGAAAGGTGGGAAGAGTCGCAGGCAGGAGGTGAATAAGAAGGGGATAGGGGCAGAAAGAAGGGATAAGGATGGAAAAAAAAAAAGGGGGGGGGGAGGGCATAGGGAAAATTCAAACGGATCGAGGCTGTAATCAGGTCGTCAGGGGCCAGGTAAGTGGGCAAGTAATGTTTCCTTTATCCAATATTAAAGAGAGGGGCACTCAGTTCCAAGAGGGGAGGTCAAGTAGGCAAATTAATAGAGAAAGCAGAAGGGGTTCCAAGGTCAAGAGCTGTCAAGGAGGAGAGCCCATAATTCAGCGGTATTCTGAGGTCGATTGGAAGTGGAGCCAGCAGGCCCAAGTGTGAGAAAATTTAGTTGGGTTGTCGTGTGATGACTCGATGAGTTGCTCCATCTCTGCCACTTTGCCCAAGCGTGTCAGCCAATCTCGGATCGACAGGGGTCGGGAAGATCTCCATAGGGCTGGCAAGCTCAATTTGGCTGCATTTAGCATTTGCATGGCTTGTGATTTTAAATAGAGGCGCCTGGGGATGGAGGTATGATGGAGGAGACATTGTGCTGGGGAAAATTCAAGAGGTAGTGAAGAGACCAATGAGGTTATGCGATGGAACTCCTTCCAGAAAGGTTGAATGGCAGGGCAGGACCACCAAATATGAAGAAGTGAACCATCCTCAGAATCACATCTCCAACAAGATTTGGGTATGGTCGGAATAAAGCGACGGAGCCTAGAGGGGGTCCTATACCAACGAGAGGCCAATTTATATCCATTCTCTTGGGTTGAAACGTTCAACGAACCATTATGAGCGTAAGTGAAGATTTGGTTCCAATCTGAGGAAGACAGATCTATCTCCAAGTCTCTCATCCAAGCCCTGCAAGCCAGGAGTATGAGAGGGGCTTGGTCTCCAAATAGGAGAAGATAAGTGGTGGAAACCAGGTGTCATTGGAGTTCCTTTTTGGAGAAAAGGGTTTAGAAGGGGGTGAGAGGACCATTTGTTGTAGTGGGCTTTGGAGCAGAGAAAGTGTTTAATTTGGAGATAGGCCCACAAAGGGAAGGCACGATCCGTCTTATAGGGGGTGAATGAGGCTAGGGTCTTCAATTGGCCATTACAAAAGAAGTGTTCTGCATGAACATGTTAGTGGGGTGTAACGGAACCAGACCCCGGCTGCACTAGGGTATTTCCATTAGACTCCAGCTTCCCTGTCTGAACACAGATCCACGGACACCACCGCTGACCATACAAGATGGAACAGCACCAGACTTGTACCAAAACAGGAAATAGACTGCTTTATTTTAACACAGACACAAGATATATACACGGGGCGGGGCAATACATTTAGTAACAAGAGACACACAGACACCCCCCCACCAAGCCAATACACAAATACATACATCCCATAATAGTTTGGGCCTAAGCAAGACACACAATAGAACAATGGGATGCACCACATGGCAGTAAACAATGAACAACCCCCCACCCCACCTAGACATGTCTACACAAAATCAGGACATTTCACCCTGTACCCCTAACAGGCACAGGGTGACTTACACATAGAAGATATATGTAGAGCTTAGGGGTCTCCCCACTCCTCCAAAGGGGGCTGTATTCCATGGGACCCCCACCCAAAGTCACTCACATCACAGTGGGGCCAGTGCTCAGCCAGAAAAGATGGGTGCATGCCCAGTGGGAATTCCGGATTCATGCGCAAGGAGGGTTAGGGACATCAGAAATGGAGACAGATTTGCATGCCAACTGAAATATCTTCAAGGTCGCTCCAATCAGCGGGTGTGTATGAAGCATCGTAGGAGTATGTTTCGCTGGGAGCCAAGGAATCCGTGCCAGCAGAGAGGGAGAGAGTCCTTGAGGTGAACCCAAGCTTTTGTGGGGCGAGTGTACGTTCCAGTCGATTATTCTGGTAAGATGACGGGCCCAGTGGTATTTTTGAAGATTGGGGAGCCTATACCCCCCTTGGATTTGGGGAGGGATAGTTCAGAGAAGGGAATACAAGGGTGTTTAAAAGTCCATAGGAACTGTGAGCAAAGTCTTCTACAAAAGGCAAAGAAGGCAGGTGACAAGTGGATAGGAATGGTCTGGAAGAGGTAAAGAAGGTGGGGAAGGACATTAATTTTAAGGATTGCAGCCCTTCCAAACCAGGAAAAACATGGACGATGCCAATTCGAGAGGT